AGCGCACAGGGCGGGGGCCAGGCCCGCAGCCAACGCCCAGCACGCCAGCCACCTGCCCCGCAGCGCCTGGCTCTTGGCCCTGCGCCCCGGGTGGCGCCTGGACAAGTAGGGTCAGGCCCACCACCATGACCGTGTATGCCGCTCCACTCAGGTCTCTGTGCTGCTCGGCTGGGCAGAGGGACCCATGTGGAGAACATGGGATCGGGTCAAGCCCTAGTGGATGACAGACCTGGCTCAGGGGACAGGCCCTGAGGTGAAGAGGGGCTGCACACTAGTGGCTAGAAAGGCAGTGGCCAGTGCCTCAAGCCCCCTCTGGAACCTCAGGGTCTCTGTGGGGAGGGGACCGGGGTTGGCCCAGGCCTCCCAGCCATGCAGCTCCCCTGCAGTTGAGATCCTATCTTGGGACATGAGGGCGGGCAGTACGGAGAGGGCTCATCGTCCTTGTCTACTCTGTGCAACAAAGCAGGAAAATGCACGGAGGAGCTGGCTTGCCAGGTTGGGCAGAAGGTGGAAACCCCAAGGGTACGGTTCCGTCTGCACCCAACACACACACACACCATGGTGCAGCCTCTAGGGGCTCTGGAAACTTGGAAGGAGGACAGGGCACAATCACTGAATACTGTTTAATTTCCCTGCCCGGCTGCCTTCCGCTCTAGTCTGGCGGTGGGGGCGGGGCCAGGGGTGGGGACGGTTCCTCTAGGGTAGCCTCCATGGGGATGGTCAGGAGGGCGCTCTCCTCCAGAGATGGCATCATGGAGACTTCCAGGTCAGGGTCCATGAGATGGGACTCCACATGCACTGAGCGCAGGTCCACTCGGTCTTCCTGAACCCCAAAGTGCCCTAACACCCTGCATGAGGAGGGTGGTCAGCCCGACTGGCGGCAGGGCAGACTGTCCTCTTGGGACAGGGCGCTCAGTGCTACTGGGAGTGCCGCCCGCGAGGGACAGCAAAGGGACAGCACACCCCCAGACCTCCCTTGGCACTCACCTCCTGTCCATGTGTCTGGGACATGTTTCACTGGGGGATAAAGCTAGGTGTGAAAGGCGGAACAGAGTTGGAACCCTCTCCCCAGTCCACATCCAGAAAACACTGCTGCCTGTGGTGACATCCCACCCGAGGGGCAGAGGCCTCTCAAGGCCTGACCCCCTCCCACAACTCCCAGCGCCCGGGGCTCACGCACCCCTTCGCTTGAAAGACGCCAATCGCCACCACAATAAGGGCACAGATGCAGCTGGCACTGACGCCGGCCAGCACCACAATGAGGGCAATGAGGGCCTCCCGGCTGAGGCCCAGGCTGCATTCACAGTAGGTTCCAGCTGCAGAGACAGAGCCAGGAGGCCAGGCACCAGTCACCTGCTGGCTGGGCCTGCCTGGGACGGGGAGAGGCTCTGGCTGGGGGAGGGGCTGGGGCCAAGGAGGCACCTGCAGCAGGGATGAGCAAGAGGGACAAACATATCAGGCCCACGGAGCTGCCAGCCAGGCAGGAGTCAGGCAAGGGGGCCATGTCCAGGCCCCTGCCCCACCACACCTCTGGACAGAACTCGGGAGGTGGGGGGGCCTGTCGGAAGGTGCTGACCTCACAGTGGGGCTCTGAGGCATGGAATGGGGGTGGGGCCTGGGCCCCTGGCCAGCCGGGCTTGCTGCCAGGCTCCGGGATACCAGGAGCCCTGGGCAGGTAGCTGGTGATGTGGCAGGGTGGAAAGGGAGTTAGGGGTTATGGTGAGATTTGAGGCAGGCAATGGTGAGTCTGGGCCTTGAGGACACACACACAGTGTGGTCATGAAGAAAGAAAGAAGGTGGGCTCAGGCCTGGTGTGGGGATGGGGCCCGGGCTCTCTGGCTTCTGGTATAGGGGATTGGGACTTGTATTTTCTCTATGGGTTTCAGGACTAGGAATAGGCCTGGACTCCAGCCAACTGTGGGCCCCTCCCCCCCTCCTGGGGTCAGCTGCTTCAGGAGAGAGCCCCCCACTGCCAGCTAAGCCAAGTCCAGAGGACTGCTGGCTCCCAAGGGATCACAAGGCACCCAGGAGGGTGGAGAAGGCCCTGGCCCTGTCACAAGGCACCCAGGAGGGTGGAGAAGGCCCTGGCCCTGTCACAAGGCACCCAGGAGGGTGGAGAAGGCCCTGGCCCTGTCACAAGGCACCCAGGAGGTGGAGAAGGCCCTGGCCCTGTCTGTCCAAGCAGGACCCAAGTCATGCTCTCAGAACATCCCTTCTTTGATTCGGCCTCCAGCCTACATGCATATTAGAGTCCAGCTGGATGCCAGTGACTTGTGCCTGTGATTCTAGCTACTTAGGAAGCTGAGAGCCAAAGATGGAGGTCTGATGCCAGTCCATGCAGAAAAGTCTACAGGACTCTTATCTCCAACTAACCAGCAAAAAGCTGGAAGGAGAGGTGTGGCTCAAGTGGTAGAGTACCAGTCTTGAGCAAAAGAGCTAAGCAAGCATGAGCGGTCCAGAGTTCAGACCCAGTGCTCAGAACTATTAATTTGTAGAACACGCAGTTGGTCACCTGCAGGCTGGCATGGTGAGGGTTAATCCTCTTCCCTGAACATGCCATCCAGGCTGGGGTGTGGAGCAAACCCACCCTGCCACCTCCTTTCTTGCTCTAAGGTCCTGCCAAGCAAACCAGACTGAGCAGGAGCCATTGCCAACCCCAGCTGACTGGGCCAGGCCCCACAGGGACACAGGGGGAAGGTATGACTGACTTGTAGTCTGTCGCCAGGGACCTCCTTGATCAGACTCAGGTGTCCTGCAGCAGCCAGGGTTGTGGGGACCAGCCAGCAAGCCAGCACCCTGCACAGCCTGTGCACACGATGGCAAAGCTGTGCCCAAGATATCCCCTGGTCCTGCGGACACCACTAAAAAGGGAGTCCAGGGTACAAGGCGTGGCGAGGGGTTGGCACCGCCACCCTGCCCGGCCAGCCCCTCAGGTTTACATCCTGGTAAAAACAAAGGCACACCTGCCCAGGGCCAGGTGGTGGCCGCAGGGGTGGGGCCCAACGGCCACTTCGTGAATGGTGGGCCCCACAGCTCTCAGGGCTTCAACTGCCACCAGAACTGGGGGGTACAGAGACGCAGCGACCGCACTAGGCGACGAGGTCCGAGAGCCAGGGGCAAGCCACCGTTAGCTGTGTGTCTCCTAGGCCTGTGCGGACCCAGGCGAGGTCAGGCTGTGCTGCCTGAGGCCGAAAAGCAAGTCACTTTTGACTTATTATTTGGTGCTAGAAATAGAGGGCCTGTACTTATCTCAGCCTCCTGAATGGTCAGGACTACAGGTGTGAGCCACTGTACTTATCTCAGCCTCCTGAATGGTCAGGACTACAGGTGGGAGCCGCTGCCGCCCAGTAGCAGAGTGCGTTAGAGGGAAAAGAGAAGCCCTGAAGGGGCTTGCCCTCAGGACCAGAGCTCTGGGCATGGTGAGGGGTAGCAGACAAGGGGAAAGCCGGAAGACATCCGGGGCATCTGGGGCAAGGGAGCAAGCGGACACTGGGTGTGGCTTGTGCACCTTGGCAGGAGCATGTTCTGAAGGCAGCAGACTACAAAAAGCCTTTGTTCCCTTTAAGAGAGCACTCTGGGGCAGGGCGCCTCCTGCCTGGAGACAGCAGCTCTGGGGCGGGGAAACAGTAGCTTTGCTGGTTCTGAAGTGCCTCAGCCACTGTGGTGCTCGGGCACTGGCAATGTGGAGGCTTCTACTGGTATGGCCTCTGGGGTGGCTGGACTCTGACCCCGACCACAGGCCCAGGGACAGGGAAGAATTTGCTGAAGTGCGCACTCATGAGCCCTGTGGGCCACCCCCCCCCCGCCCCGTCCCACCCCCATCCAAGACCTTGGCCCTCTGGACCTGCCCAGGGCCTGTCCCAGAGTAGCTCTTTACTGCTGAGCTCCTGACAGCCAGGCCCCTACAACAGCTGCAGACTGGGAGCTAAGGGCTCCTTCCCTGCCAGCTGCAGCAGCTCACACTGTAATACCAGCCTGAGATCTGAGGATCAATATTTGAAGCCTTGGCACAAAAGTCCATTAAGACTAATCTCCAATTAAAGAAAATCTGTGGCTCAAGTGGTGCAGTGCCAGCACTGACCAGAAAAAGCAAAGGGATAGAACTCAGGCCCTGAGTTCAAGCACTAAACAAAATAGTAAGATAAAGCTCCTTTCAAAGGCCAAACAGTGGACCGAGCGGCTCAGGACTAAGGGGCTGCAGGAGGCAGCCGTGGCCTCACGGCCACCTTCAGGGGCCAGGCCCGGCCTGTGTGGGCTCACTGCTGTTGAGAGAACGTGGCCAGTGGAGGGAAGACCAACCGGATGTGCCCAATGGGGCCCACAAAGCCAGCAGGACACAGGATGAGAAACTGACCTGCTTTAATTTGTACTGCATGCAGGGGTGTGGGGATGGGGGCAGGGATGTGGGGATGAGGGCAGGGATGTGGGGATGAGGAAGCAGGGCAGGAGTTGTGGGACAGGGCAGGGGTGTGGGGAGGAGGGGCAGGGCAGAAGTGGGGGGGGTAGGACAGGGATGTAGGGGATAAGGATCAGGACAGGGGTGTGGGTATGGGGCAGGACGGGGAGGAAGGGGCAGGGCAGGGGTTTGGGGAGGAGCAGGACAGGGATATGAGGAGGGGCAGGGCAAGGGTGTGGGGAGAAGGGACTGGGCAGGGGTTGTGGGACAGGGCCAGGAGGGAAGGACTGGCAGCGGTACAGGGAAAGAGTTGTGGGGGTGGGAACTGCGCACATCAGTGCCCCCCCGCCCCCCCATCGCCCTGGCAGAGCCTCAGCTGCAGCTCTTGGGTAGACGGTAGACACCGGCCGAGTAGGTGAGCTGCTGATCCCGGACCTTCTTCTGCAGGTAGCCCTGCAGCTCCTGCAGGTCGATCTCAGCCAGCGCGGGCCCGGTCATCACGAACATCCGGAGCATGCTGTAGATGCGCTCCAGGGAGAGGCTCTCCAGGTTGGTCAACATGGCCTGGATGTACGTCCAGAAGAGCTTGGGACAGCAACCGGGCAGGTCAGGGGGCTGCGCTCTGGGACCACCCCAGCCCCAGCCCCGCCCGCGCGCCAGCGCCAGCCCCGCCCGCGCGCCAGCGCCAGCCCCAGCCCCAGCCCCAGCGCCAGCGCCAGCCCCAGCCCCAGCGCCAGCCCCAGCGCCAGCGCCAGCCCCAGCCCCAGCCCCAGCGCCAGCGCCAGCCCCAGCCCCAGCCCCAGCGCCAGCCCCAGCCCCAGCCCCAGCCCCAGCGCCAGCCCCAGCCCCAGCCCCAGCGCCAGCCCCAGCCCCAGCCCCAGCCTCAGCGCCAGCCCAGCCCCAGCGCCAGCCCCAGCCCCAGCCCCAGCCTCAGCGCCAGCCCAGCCCCAGCGCCAGCCCCAGCCTGCCACTGCCTATATACCAGCAGCTCCTCCTCCTTCTGGTCGGCCTGCGAGGCCAGGCCCGAGTCACTCTCGTCGTCGCTGTCGATGAGCACCATGCTGTCGGGGTCCTGGGGCCGCTCCTCCTCGATGACAGAGAAGGTGCCCGGAGGCTCCTCCCGCACCACGCCCTGCTGCAGCCACACCGACAGGCGTCGCCGCAGCAGTCCCACCGGCATCTTCACCACCTTGCTCAGCTCCTCCAAGGTCCAGCTGGCTGCGTGGGAAGACACAGGACTCTGGAGGCCGCCCCGGCTGACTGCCACCCACCCGGTTGGTGACCCAAGGCTGCGGGTGGACTGCCCTGCCTGGTACTCACCCCAAGGCAAAGCTAAAACCAGAATCAGGGTGTGTGGACTCACCTTGGTCCTGAAAGTACAGCAAGAGCACGGCCTGCACCGGTGTCACGGCCACAGACAGCGTGCGGTCGGCCAGCTCCACGTCCAGGGTGACCAGGCCCAGCGTGTGCTTCCAGCTGAGGGTCCGCATGGCCTGTGGGGGAGGAGGATGCTCAGCTGGCAGCCCAGCTGAGCAGAACACACTGGAGAGGCAGAGGCCCTCCAAAAGACAGATCCGTGTCAGACTCAGTATTCAGAACATGACCAACGTGGAACCAGAGCAGACGCAGGTGCAGCTGGTTAAGATGAGGTCACTGGGAAGGTGGCTCAGTGGTAGAGCGCTTGCCTTGCATGCATGAGGCCCTGGGTTCGATTCCTCAGCACCACATAAGCAAAAAGAAAAAAGCCGAAGTGGCGCTGTGGCTCAAGTGGTAGAGCGCTAGCCTTGAGCTGAAGAGCTGAGGGACAGTGCCCAGGCCCAGAGTTCAGGCCCCACGACCAGACCCAAAAAAAGAGATAAGGTTGCACCGGAGGGTGGGCCTACCCTTACACAGGGCAAGGTTAGAGACCCAGGCACACAGCGAGGTGTCTGTGAGGCCAGGGGCAGACACGTGAGGTAGCCATATGCCAGGCCTACGAACGCCTGCTGGACAGAGACAAGGACGTTCAGAGGCCTCGGCGGGTGGGGCCCTGCCAGTGCCTCCACAACAGAAACAATAGGCTTCTGTGTTAGGCCACCTTCGTGACACTGCATTACAGCAGTCAAAAG